ATCATCTTTGTCACTGAGCCTGATTGGAGTCACGAGGAGGCAGCGGTGTATGTGTGTGTGTGTGCATATGCTCTTCCTGTATGTGTGTGTGTGTGATTATGAGTGTGTGTGTGTGTGTGTGTGTGTGTGTGTGCAGTGATTCCCTTCCCCTGCCCCAGCTGTCTCCTTAGCTTTAACAATAGGCCTGCTAACAAAGACGTGGCCTTCAGCCTCCGTCATGTGATACTAGTGGTCTGCAGCCTCTCAGTCAGATGACCCGCGCTATTGTCCTCTATGGGTGACACACACTTGCACACACACCAAGAATACAACACGCACACACACAGTCCGTCAAGGAAGCACAGCACATGTATAAAAGGACACACACAAACTGAAGACACACATAAAGCAGACACACACACACACACACACACACACACAAACACTCATGAGATAGTGAGCGCAAGACACACACTCGCGTAGACGCAATCTCAGGACGCAGACCCTTCCTCTGGGTCACATGCAGCCGAACAAAGACAAACTTTATTGTCATTGTCCCGGTGACAGTGAGATCAGTGACTGATTGACAAAAGAGCAGCAGAGAAAGGAAACATATTGCTGATGTCCTGGAGGAGCCCTCAACTTCTTTATTACTTCTAATTTAGGAAAAAAAAAAACTCTGGGAGGTGATTGATTTATTCGCTGTTTACTTCTTCTGAAGTACAAGATGTTTTTTGGGGGGTTTTTTTTCCTGTAAAATGTGTCAGCAACGTGTGATCACACTTGGCCATGGTTGCCATCTGCACAGCAGGTTGAAGTCTGTGCTATAAATGTGATCTGTGTGCAGCAGGAACATAGAACAAAACTGAATCCTCTAACTGGAGATTTCAACCTAAAAGAAACAAACCCAGCGTTAAGTCGACCTTGACCACTTTTAAGGCGATTATTAGTCAAGTTTGACTTGAAAGTCCTTATAGGTCCAACTTGCAAGATATCCTATTTCAACAGAAGAAGAAAATCTACCAGGTTGTAAAACGGGCATCACGTGTTAGAATGTGCAGAAACCAATGCAGAAATGTAGGAGAAGACAAAAGTCTTCTAACATGTGGCTTTGAAACACATGTGGGTTACTTCTGGGCACTGACTACTACAGCAGCTTATTGTTTCAAACAAAACCCATAGTGTCAAGTCAAATAGAAGCAACTCATGTTGATGCTGAAACGTCATTTAAACACATTAGGTGCCACCTGCATGTTATACAGTAACACCATGTTGTTGTCGTCTCTGTTTTTCTGACAGATCGGGTTGCACAATATTTTCTAAATACTTCAAAAAGGATGCAGCATTTCAATATTTTCTCTTCAAACTTGACACCAAGTACTTTAATAAAACATTTAAGGTTGTGTGCTGTGTAAGGAGAACACAAGGCCTGCTGTCACTCTCTTGTTTATTTTTATGTCCCATTCAAAATCTCTGACTTGAATGTTTTTGGTTTTTAGCGTGAAATCTTATTTTTTCTTCTTTATTCTATGACCTGTTTTCAGTTTTTTAAAGGTTCTGGGAGAGCCACATAGTAAATAGTCTTTCAACACTTTGGCATTAAACGATCCTCTATGACGACAGTTACAGTCGGTGTTTGTGGCAGCAGGAGGGAAACAGAAGCCGAAGCTCGAGGAGCTCACAGATGGAAAGAGGAGAACACATATGCATGCAGGCGGGGGTGTGTGCGTATTTGGGAGTTTGCAACCAAAACAACAAATGTTTCGGTCACAAATGAGGAGCGTCCCTTTAATGTATGAATCAGTTTTGGTGTGATGTAATCAGAAAATCCGGAGCATGCTCAGAAAAAGAAGCAATGGGGGCAGCTTCGACTGAGAATTAAGAAAGAAAAGCTACAATAATGCACAATGTTGAGGTATTCATTTCCATTTCCGAGGAAAGGAAAAAGGATGAGAGAACATTTTGAAGGAAGAATCTGTAATCTGGATGTGTGTGTGTTCGTATTTTCCTGCCAGAGTGTGTGTGACTAAAGCCAGGCCTGATAGCGAGGGAGAGAGCGAGAGGGAGAGTGAGGGAGAAGAGGAGGAAAAAGGAAGCAGATGCTTGTGTGTTGGCACTGAAATGATATGTCCACTCAGACACACACTCACATTTTTAGACACACACACACACACACACACACACACACACACACACACATGCATATAGTATTTGCTTGGTCTACAGACAGAGCAAAACCTGAAAGAGTTCCAGTATTGTCTCAAAGATAGAAAAGTACCCGACTGACCAAGAGAAAAGTGGCCCTCAATGCCTCGGAGTGAATAAACAGCTACAAAAACATGTGTGTGTGTGTGTGTGTGTGTGTGTGTGTGTGTGTGTGTGTGTGTGTGTGTGTGTGTGTGTGTGTCTGTTCTTGTAAAGAGTGCATCTCATATTGAAAGAGTAAAAACGTGAATAAAATGTAATAAAAGAGAAGGGTAAGTTAAAAACGGATCAATAACCGAGTAACACAAGTCAAGCTGAAATTCAAAAAAAGACTTTACAACATGCTAAACAAACGACACGTGTGTGTACACACACTTGAGTAAACATTGTCCGTCTCCTGCGTTAATGGAGGGAGGTAGACAGACTTCAAGAAACACACACATGCATGTGTCTCCTGTTTGCACTCCTCGATAATCCAGCATATGGTGTTTGAACAGTGATTTCTTAAGAGCCTGGTGTGTGTGTGTTTTTCTCCTTTTTGTGCAAGATGGTGTGTAAGTGAGGATGGAAAGAAAGCAGGTGGGAATAGGAACAGAGAGGTGAACGTGTAGAGTCAACTGAGGACACACACACACACACATACACACACACACACACACAGGCCTGACATCTTCATCAGTCTCATGGTTACAGAGAGGAAGGAGAGAAAATGGATTAAACCTTTTTGAGACACAGGGGGGATTGGTTTATATTCAGAGGTGGGGGGGGGAGGCAGGAAAAGAAATGAAAGATAAAGAGAAGAAGTGTGTCTGATAGGAGGCGTGTAAAGATGAGGGAGAGGCAGAAAGCAGAAGTGAAGGAAGAGAGAGGTTTTAAGGGTAAAAAAAAGAGACACAAAGAAAGGGAAATAAAGGATAGAATGAGACAAATGCGATAAAAGTCATGAAGAATTTACACAACTAGAGAGCAAAAGTCTAATTAAGTAGCTTATTTCACAAAAGTAGGTATGCACCGATATTGGCCTTGTTGACAGACTTTGAAAAAAGCAAAAGAACATCCCCACCCCTCCTTTACCGAGTCAGGCGAATTAAAGAACTTATTTGAAGGTTTTTTACGTCACTAACTTCAATCAGTGATTTGCGCTCCTTTGTTTCATGTAAAAGAAGCCGCGTTAAAACGTTCAAATTAACGAGCAGCAAGGCGGTGTTACACAAAGATACACTTCTGGAATAAAAAAAGCACCAAACACATCAGGGGAGGATTTGCATAACTTCAGAATAACAAAAAATAACATTTGCAAGATTTGACAGAGACCCTTTAGTTTAGTTTTCTGGGTTTGATAATTTAGTATCTCAATCAGATTGTGCAGCAGTGACATGATGAGCAAAGTGGTCACAGTGTTTAGAAAAAATGTGCTGACATGCAAAGAGATGATCGATGTTCCACGTTTTGTTGGACTTTAGTCTATGTGTTTGGATAAGGCAGTGTATGCATGAAGAAAATAACCTACTTTTGAAAGTCTCCCCCTTTATTCTAAAAATAATTTTAGTGCAACACTGCCCTTTTGTGATCGTAGAGACTGAATTAGCTTAGCGGACGTCACTGTTGCTAAGTGCTCATTGCTGTGCACTTCAGGTGTTCCAGTGATGGGTTGAGCTGCTTCGGCTCCTCTTGTGTTTTCACTAATAAAAATGTCACACTCGCTCTAAGATATCAGACAACTTGCTTTTAGCGTGACAACATTGTGGAATAATATCAATATTGATTTAGTAATAGATGTTTGGGTGACTTGCAGAAAAGAACCCAGTTGAGATAAATGTGACTTTGTTTTAGTCCTTCATATATTTTCATAAAACAAGCAACCTTGCCCCACAAAGGAACATTTAAAAAAAAAGGCCTCATCATGGCTTCGATGCAAATGACCGTGAGACAGAGATCAGACAGAGTCAAAAATAGATACATCAGCGAATGCAAATACTGACAGCATGCAACACAGTGGAAACATTTGAGGAAAAGCAGTAAACGCATCAGAGAAATGTAAAAAAAAAAATGTAAAGATGCTGTGATGCTGATGGCTTCTGTCAAAGCAGCAAAGGGACTTTTTTTTTTATACAAATATCTTGAAATGAGTGTAATTAGTCGGTTTGTAAACTTGTGATTTCTCCAAAGACTAATATACCAAGAGGAGCACAAGAGAGGAAACTGATGAGGAGAGACAAAAAAAGAGGGAGTGAGGGCGTCCCTGAAGGCCTCTTTGTCGGGCAGCGATTTAGAGATTTACAGGCTCTTGTCCTTCTGTGTGTGTGTGTGTGTGTGTGTGTGTGTGTGTGTGTGTGTGTGTGTGTGTGTGAAGAGAGAGTAATTGAGCCTCCCTTCATCCAATATTTACCCAGCAAACCGGAGCAATCATGCGAATTATGTTTACTGGGAACCAAGTGTCTTTCTTCCTCTTTATCTTTCTCTCTCTTCCCACTTTTTTCCTCGTTCCTCGCTCGCCCTCTCTCTCCTGGCAACTAGACACCATATCAAGGACCAAGCCGGGGACAAATCACACACACACACAAACACACACACACACACACACACACTGGGGAAACAGGCCCATCTGTATTGATGATGGCCTAATTTAGATCTCTTTATTGGACTGATTTACGATGGCAAGACAAATCTAGGCATCTGGACATAAGTGTGTGCGTCTGTGTGCGAGTTTGTGTGTCTGTCCAGTTGAGCACATACCCAACCTGACACACAATATCCTCTCCTGCTTCATTTCATTCTCCCAGCTTGTGTTTTCCTACCTCTCTGTGAATTAGCGCTGTCCTTTTCTCCCCCCCCCCCGTCGTAGCCTCTTCTCAGTGTTTTGAAGTTGACGCACATCATCCTGAAACATTTTAAAAAAAATACACAAATCATTGAATCGTTGAATGGGCTGTGCAAGTGCTGCAACACAAAACCCGAGGTTAAAGCAACTGAATTGCTTTTTGACCTTCTGCACGTCGCATTGCTTGTTTCTTAGATCTTTGAAATTGAGATATTAATGAGTGCGAGCACACAGGAGGAGGCAATGAGCAGAATGTATTCAGACTTTCAGCTCCATCCCTGCACATTAGGCACCTAACTAAAGGAAAACTGACGAGAAGAAGCTTCAGTTTGAAAACCAAGAGGTCAAAGGTCATGAGCAAACACGTCAAAACAGAAGAAACATTAAGAAAAATCATTTTAAGTTGCTGTTCAAAGGAGTGGATTTGTCTTATTCTTAAGATAAAAGCACAGTTGAACAAAAAGGATGAAGGGATGTAATGCAGGAGGGAGGAGACGCCTCAAAGGCACGCTCATCTTCAAGATCAAGCTCAGGTTTCAACTTTTATTTGTCCCTGTGGGCAGATTCACAGCAGCTTGACTTTGGGGACGTCTGTATTTAGCCTAAAACAACTCAATCTCGAGGAACCTCATGTTTTAGATTTTTCTCTTTATAGAGCGATTCCCCCCAGGATTAATAAAGTATTTCTGATTCTGATACTTGTAATTTAGTTTTCCTGTTACACTGACGTCAAGGGCACTTGGACCCTCGGTTTGGCATGTGGCAGACTTGACAATAAAGGTGGTACAGTGTGAACATTTTTTCTGTGTTTATTAACCATCACCAGAAGGGTTTCATGTCGTAACTTTCCCTTTAAACTGTACAGATGTCTCTATCTAAGTACAAGTCACATGTGTTTGTTTATTTTTGTTGTGTGTGTGTTTATATGTGTAAGGATAGGGTGTGTGTGTGTGTGTGTGTGTGTGTGTGTCTACAGTCTAGTCTATAGTGAGACAGTGACAGAGGGCCTCATTGAAATAACCGCCGTCTCAGGGGTCCAGCTAAAAAGAGAGAGAGGGCAGTGAGAGTAGACGGAGTATACGAGAGTCCAGGGAATCATTTAGAGTGTGTGTGTATTAGTGTGTGTGTGTGTGTGTGTGTTGGGTGATTCATTCGTTCTGGTGGCGGCTAACCTTGGCATGTCCTGCCACGCGTGACGGGGTTACACCCAGACCGCACTCGTCCTCTATGGGGTGTGTGTGTGTGTGTGTGAGTTTGTTGGGGTGAATGGGAGCATGTACCTCGTCTGGAGGAGTCAGCCTTCTGCGTGTGAGTGTGTAACAGAGTGTGTTAATGTGTGTGTGTGTGTGTCTGCATGCAAGAAAATCAGACAAAGAAGAAGAAGAAGAAGAAGAAAAAAAGAGAAAGGGGAGGGGGGGTTACACTCGTCAGGTTGTTTTGTGTCTTTGAATGATCTTGCCCCCGGGAGAAAGGGCAGAAAAAAGAATGAAAAATGTGTGCGCGCCATTGTTCTGCTGTCGCACACACACACACACACACACACACACACACACACACACACACACACACACACACACCTAAACGCTGTGTGTTGACAGTATATTTATGCTTGCACGTGGAAAGGACAATTGGATCCCTGCAATGCTTTCCCTCTTGTTTAAACTCACACACACACATGAACACACACTGTGACAGATCACAGACAACTGTTCACCTGCCATTGTCAAGGCCTGCGTGTGTCATCCGTCATGACTGTTCATAAGGAACTCTGACACCACACACACACACACACACACACACACAGACAGAGGCTGTTAAGAAAGGAGAAGTATATTTAGAGGAAGTCGAGAGCTGAAGAAGAACTCTTGGTAAGAACAGTCAAGTATGGACACCTGAAACACACGCACACCTAACCTACTTCTTCATCCTTATCAGCCACAGCGCTGTTTCTCTGAATAGTGAACTCAAATTCAATTTGAAGACGCCCTTCATTTCTCGTTTGTATGTAGATTTAAGAAAGCAGATGTCCCTTTTGTGGACTCTGTCTTTAATGGCTGTTGATTTTGTAGTAGTAGCAGTGTCACATTGTCCAGTAAGACTTCTCAGGGAGCATGGGGTCATCAACTTTACTTTATTGACACGATCTGCAAATACCGCAATGTCAATGCACTACTCTAAACCGTAGTCACCTGCAGCACACCTGCCTCGCAGTCTTCTTTGTATTGTGGAGGTTGTTTGATTTGTTATGTGCACTATTTTCTTTTATGCGGATGATTGACAATAAAAGATGATGTGATTTTGTATGGAAGCCTTCAGTGGACACACACACATACATTATTATTAACATAGTTTTCCAGCTATAACCAGAGACGTCAGCTTGTTTTATTGTGGTCTCCTCTTTAACCTCTTATCCGCAGCATTAGTACACAAAACAAACCCTGAAATAGGCCTAACTTACCTCTTCACTTTGGCCAATGGCAGCAGGTTGTGGTCTGGCCTGTCACAGCCAATTGTTTTGTTTTTTCTTGGTTGATAGATGCGTCCCTGTTATCACAAGAAGACATGAAAAATAATGTTAAACCCAGCTTTGCGATGCAAGATAAGAAGAAAAATCAGTGAAGATCTTGAGAAAACAACCGGAAATGACGAGATAATTGAGTATAAAGATGTGTGTCCTCTTCAGGCTGCTGTTACTTCTGATTCCTATTTTAATGTCCTTATCTGTATTCTCCCTCTGCAGGCCTCGCCTTGTTTAAGTATACTACTACTACTTTCATCTGTATATAATCTCTGGTAATCTGTTGACTGTCTGCCTAAAAGTGAATGAATAAGTGCTTCAACCTTACAGGTGTTTCTTAACTTTCTTTACAATCAGAAACACACAGGTTTATAACCTGGAGCACTTTGATGTTCTTTCAGCGTGATGTTAATGCCCTTTGCACAATGAGGTTTGGAGGCATTTTCTTCTTATCCATTAGGATGGAAATGTTTCACATTGTGTCCCTAACCTTGACAGCAACATGCACCCCACAGCATGAAAAGGCTACTTGATCTCCTCACTGTAGGAGTCAAGCATTCACTATTGATGTGTCAGCCGTCTGTGGGTGTGCTCAAGTGTTTGCACATTTTAGATTTTATGAGTATGTGTTAAGGTACCTTCTTCTAAAGCAACGGCTCTGTATTTCAAGCTTATCATAAATCATATTTTTACTCATTTTCAGGACAAGGGGAAGTTGGTTGAATAAAGTTCCTCTTCAGTTCGAACAATCAAAGCAGGCACTCATCATTTCCCTTTTCTCTCCTTTTGCCCTCCTCCTTCCCCTACTTCCCTTTCCATTATTTACTTCCAGGTTCCTGAGCGATTCCTGGAGGTGGCCCAGGTGACCCTTCGCGAGTTCTTCAACGCCATCGTGGCGGGAAAGGACGCAGACCCGTCCTGGAAAAAGGCCATCTACAAGGTGATCTGCAAACTGGACAGCGAGGTTCCTGAGGTTTTTAAATCCCCAAACTGTCTACAAGAGCTCCTCCACGACTGACTGGGGCGGGGGAGCAGATCCCGCACGCAAGACAAGCCTCAGAGGACATTAGAAGACTTTTAAGAAAACGTAGATTAGACTTTATCGACGTTTGACCTACATGATGCGATGCTGAGACTTGAAGTGATTATCTCGGATATTTGTTGTTTTTGGTCATCTTTTAAGGACAGAACTGCCTTTGAAATGTTTTATAAAACAAGAAAATATTCCTCCTCAAGACTCGGACTCATGAGTCGTTCAGACTAACAAATTATGTCCAGACTTTTATAAAAGGCAAAACAGTGAAAACGAACGTCCTTGCACTTACAGAAGAGCTCCTTCTTGTTAAAACAGCCCGTCTCCAGTCTCGTCCCTCTCTGGAGAAACAACATGATGAAGAAGATGAAGGATCCTTCTTCATCCTGTGATCGTCCGGAGCCAACTAAAAATAAAGAAGATAATATATACAAATCTTTTTATTGTGGATGTTTTTAAGTTTCATGGACATTTTTTGAGACAAAAAAAGTGATGTTTCTGTATTTTTCCTTCTTTGTATAAGCTTCTCTTCTATGATCCCTCAGTCACTCACATAGATACACGTGCACACACAACCACAAACACACAATCTTCTTGAATAGAAAAGCACAGTAGCATTCCCAAATCCTCACCCAAACCCAGACAAGCTGGGTGTCAACGAGCTTAGTTGTTGTTTATTTCCCTTCTTTTCCCCCCTCTTCTTACTGTACTGAGACGTACTGCGTGTTTTCTTTTTTTTTTTTTTTTTTTGACTGTGTGGCTCTCCCTGCCCCATCCCTTCCTTGGTCGCCCCTCTCGGACCGTGTTGCATTCAGGTACCCAGAGCGACAGGAAAAATAAGGATTTCACGATTTAAAATCTTCAAATATAAGAAAATCAGTTCATCCAAACCCCTTTAAATAGTATGGGAAGTGAGTTTTAACTGTGATGAATCAGAAAGTCTCGTTAAAAAGCTTAAACACGCTACATTTTCTGCATCAAAATGTCCAAAAGGTGTTCGAACTTGGTTATATGTTTTATATGGTTGCGTAATAAGGTTGTCAACAATGTTCAAACCAAGAGAAATAGACGTTTTAAGCACGGTTATGGGAGGTAAATGGAATACATTTGGCTTGTCTTCTAGGAAACCACGGGACAATAAACAGATTATAGGTCAGAGATTAAGGACAGAATCCAGCACCCATGATCCCACGCTACTTAACAACATCATCACATTATGTCTGTTATTGTTGTTGTGACTGACAGAAATGACATACTGTGTGTTTAACCTCAGCTTTCTTTAACATTTACTTTCATATTTATTCAACATTTGCAACAAAGTGATGAACGTCTAGAAGACATTTCATTGGTACAAAACGCACTTCAGCGTCGTCAGTGATTTCTTGTTAAGAACTGACAGCGGCACTTCTTCGGTATTTCTTCACTTTAAATTCTGGTGGAGAAATGAATCAAATTTGAGAAATATACGAGGTCAGACTACCATTGGGTTTTTTTTCTGTGTATTGCACTGGTGCTAATGACACTTCCTGTCATTACCTGTAGTTTTCAGGGTGAACTGCAATACGACTACATTTTTCACCTTGACTTTATCTGGATTTTTTTCCACACAGTCCCAAATAAAAATGATCCCAAGAAGTCAGGGGAGAGAGAGAGGGCGATATTTAGGAACGTTCACAGGAGCAAGTGGAAGGCGGTGATGAGGTTTCTTATCCTGCAGCTTGTGCAAAGTTGTGAAGCTACGTCACAGTCTTTGATGCTCCTCAGCATGTTCTTTTCCATCCATTCATTGAAACTATGACTTAGTCCAATTACGCAAAACATTGATAATAAAGGCAGAATCTGTTATCACAGCTTCAAACTCTGTGACTTCCTCAGCGTCCTATTTACATCACGTCTTGCCTCCTTACCCGCTGTTAGGAACATGTGTGAACGAGTAACTCAGGATTTTGACCCCATACCTCGAGTCCATTTCGTCCCTCTCTTCATGCTAATTACCTGGAGGCAACTTCCCAAACCTGATTTTAGAATAAGATGATTTTATTGAGAATAAGATGAGTTGTGTAAGCTCTGGGGGTCCCAGAGGGGCGGCCTCACCGACCGGGTCATGTGTGAAGTGTTTGAGGTTTTAACAGCAGAAAAAAAAAAGAACATACGAGAAAATGCTGATATTTGTAGCTTGTATAGATGTAATAATGACTCTGATCACTCTGATATTGTTATTATTTATAATTGAAATAATTATTCCTATTAATGTTATTCTGATGATGATAATGATTATTATTAATGCTTGCTACAGATTTGACCAGTGGTTTACTCATTGTTTCTCCATCACACTGCAACATGAAATAAATTATTCTTTGACAAAAAAGGAGAAGAAGACGGAGGCTTGTTTCTACTTTTTTGCGCTCAGGAGAGGTGCAGAGGGCGTTGACCGTTGCACACACAAAAAAAAAAAAATCAGCATCAACTCAGGCAGTAACTAGGCAACATGATGATGGCCACTTTAACGCCGGCCCTCTCTCTCTCTCTCTCTCTCTCTCTCTCTCTCTCTCTCTCTCTGGATTCTGTACGGGGGACATGTGATCCCTTGTTGTTGTTGCTGATGAATTGAAAAGAGGAGCGCTGTGTGATTATTGTCAGCACAAAAGCCTCAAAAAGCTGCTGACGCCTAGATTAGCCAGTACAAAGACACACACACACACACACACACACACACACACACACACACAAAAAGACATAGGTACAGACTCACACTCACAGACACACAAAGGCACAGGGACAAGGCCTGTCTGCCCTCGATGCCCTACCATACTCCCTGCTCCGCTGTTCTTCTTCTTTTGGCTTCCTTTCTCAGAAGTATTATTTCGATCCTCCTCTTCTGCCTCACACTCACAAAACACACGCCATGCCCTCTGTGTGTGACCGGCCAATGTTAACAGGCCTCACATAATGACAGGCAGCATCACCGACTTGAGGGAAAGTGACAATATTCAGGATGGCTAAACTTTTGTCCTCTTACTCTTTTTTTTAACAGCAAAAATAGAAATTAAACGACAAATCCAAACAATGAAATTGTCGTATTAATGTGCAATTATAGAAATTGATTGAAGTCTAATTACAACAATGACCCAATAAACAGAATAACGGTTTCTGTAAAGTGACTGCCCCATGATAATCCAAATTCAATTCCTTTTTTTGTAGTTAATTAATGAATCTTAACAGAAAAAAAAAAAAATAACACTACAAGGTTGTTATTCATGAAGTAGAATTAAAAAGCAACTAACAACATATCAGCAGCTCTGAGATGCTGCACTGTACCTGCAGTATGTGTCGTAATGCTTCGGGTTAAATATTACTGTCTCCAAAGCTCACGTTAGCACGAATGTAAGATTCTGACTTGATATATATTGACCTAAACCAAAACCTTTTCCTAACCTTACTGAGCACTTTTGGTCCCTAAACCTATCAGCGGTAGCTCAAGTTGTTAAGCAGTTGCAGTCTGCTCAGGTGTAGGAACCAATGCATTTTGGGTAAAGGAAAAGATCATGGTTTGGGATTAAACAAATTGTGGAGGAAGACACTAAGATTTGGCCAATCACAGCACAGAAGATACAGAAGAGTATAAAGAGTGCATGATGACTGACAAGGGCAAAGATTGTGAGCTCATAAACTAAAGTTGGAGTGATTTAAATGAATAAATCCACCGACAGTCCAGTTTTCAACGGTTCTCAAGTAGGGGGGGGAAATGATCCGATTTGTCAGATCTAGCGATGTTCCTCGCGGACTAATTTTCTCTTCGGTGAAACAAAAATTGGTATAAGAGCTGGACTTGATATTAGACAATAGCCTGAGATGAGGTAACACAGGTCGTATTAGGAGAGAAGTTGGATCTGTTTGTAATCCACAGATTTGAATGCTTGGCTTTGTAATCCTTTTGTGGAGAAATTAGATATAAAATGGCTTTATATGCATCTCCAAGTAATTGAGGAAACACAAAAAGAGTTGTTAAATCAACATTCTGCACATTAAAACTACAAGAAAGGGGAAGCTTTTCTTCTGAGATGAATATTTTAGAAAGACGTGGCTTTAAGAACAACAAAACAAAGAAATGCAGACGGGCAGAGATCACAGCTTACACTGCCAAAGCTTTTCATTCGAACAGGAGGAGCTGAACAGGAGGTGGGGTCACTCTCTGAACTATATCATCACACACACACACACACACACACACACACACACACACACACACACACACACACACACTCACACACAGCGTCTGCCTGTGAAAGCACATCTGAGCAGCGCAACAATAAAACAGCTGTGTTTGTGTTGGCCTGCTGATTGTTTCATTTCTCGATCAGCGCGTCAAACACACTTACGCAGACACAAACACGCCCGCTGTCCGCAGAGATGGCATGACAGTGATGCATCTTGGGTAATGGGCGCTATTATTATGGAGTAGGGAGAGAGTTTATTATGGAGGAAAATGTCTTCTCGACATTATTCTAACAGCTGAAACGGTCATCTCTGCGCTAACTGCTGTCAGAGTGGCGTGTGGTGGGTGGAAGAGCGGGGAAGTGAGTTGGTCTGGGGCAGAGAAGAAGCACAAGTGGAGGTGCGTCCTTTAAAAACTGAATATCTAACCTCCAGAGTAATCAGAAAACGACCCAGCTTCCCTGATTTTTATTGCAACGGCAGAATTCCTCAAAGAAATGTTCATGCTCTCCGTGCCTTTTTGTGGGTTCTGAATGAAAGAGGCACCAACTTAACAAGCCTGGTGTTGATGAGGACGACAGCTCTGTTTGCAACGCCTCGTGTACCATGGTTCTGATCGTGCAGTTGTGTGAAATGTGTGCATGATAACAGTGCAGCGAGCATGCAGCAGCGTGCAATCGTGCAGATGGTGATGACAGTGTAGATACAGTTTATCAGAATGTGTATGCCAACAGATGATAAGTCCTAATGAAGCACTTCATTGATCTATAACGCAATTATCTATAAAAGGTGAAGTGCACCTGCAGGATAATTGCAGGATAAAGTTGTGCAGTTTGCAGCTAAAATGTTTAAGATGTTGAATGTAAACCACCAAAAGCACATTTCATCATTCACAAGGTAAGGCACATGTCACGTCAAAGAGGTCTTTTAAAGAGGAAGGCGGGTTAACATAAACTGTGGGATGACTTTATGAGAATGTCACGTTCAAGGGACAAAGAAAAGTTAGAACAAATGGATGGGACACGATACAATATGATGCAAGATTTTAAGTAAATTGTGATGGCACTCCTTGAGTGAAAATAATGAATATAACCTGAAATTGTAGAATAATTTAAGAAATAAAAACAATTTAACTATTTGAAACAAAAAAACTTTTTAAATGCAATATGTAATGAGCAAATAAGCTTCAGA